TTGGCCTCTGATTTGCTTTTGTTCTTAGTGGGCTCACTGTGACTGGGTCAGAAGGGTTCTATAGGGTGACCGCTTTGCATTGCCCTGCGTCCCAAAGGTCTCCTCTGGAGCTGGGGACAGTACTGGCATCCTATCAGAGATACAGCTTCTGCTCCCCAATTTGCATTCATTCCAGTTCCCGTCTCGCTTCCAAGTGCTGGAAGATCAATGTACCTGTCACTCACAGCTTCCCAGGCTCGCCTTAGAATGGGATTGAACAGCAGCAGTGCCAGCAGCTTGGGATGGAGCTGCCAGTGTCTGGTGTGCCCCAGCAGAGACTCACACATGGGAGGACTATTGATGGAGGGTGGGAGACCTGATAGGACCCAGCTCATGTCATGGCCCACAGCACTGGTTACTGTAGGTCTTTTCCCATTCCTGCCTCATTTGTGTGTCCATTTGGGAAGCTTTTCCTATCCCGTATCCTTTTCTAAAAGCAGTAATAATCTCTTTGTTACCGTGTTCAGTTTTGGTCCCTAGTATACAAAGATGTGGACAGGCTGGAGAGGGTCCAGAGAAGGTGATCACCACAAAGGTGATCCAAGGACTGGGAAACTGAGGAGAGGCTGAGAGAGCTGGGCTTGTTCACCTTGGAGAAAAGAAGGCTCAGGGGAGACCTTACCCCCATGTTCCAGTAATTAAAGTGTGGCTACAAAGATGTTGGAGACTCCTTTTTACAAGGAGACGCATGGAATAGATAAGGGCTGATGGGCACAAGTTATTGCTGGGGAGATTCCAGTTGGACACAGGAGGAAAATGTTTCCCAGTGAGAACAATCAGCCACTGGAATAATCTCCCTGTGGGAGTGGTGGATTCTCCAGTGCAGGACACCTTTAAGATCCAGCTGGACAGGGTGCTGGGCCATCTAGCCTAGGTCATGCTGTGCTGGAAAGGTTGGACCAGATGATCCTTGAGGTCCCTTCTAACCTGATAGTGCCTGATTCTGTGGTTCTTGGCTTTGAGTATGTGCACTCTGAAATCCTTCTTGCTTATTTAGCTTTCCTTCTCCCAGCAGTAGGTGGGCAGGATTTACTCCACCACTACTGCACTTTTGCTCATCCATCCCGAGCAGCAGCATCTTCCTCTCGCCTCGTGGACTTGGACACATACCTGTTAGTGCTTGGGTGGCTGAGGATGCTGAGAGCTGCTGTAACAGCACAGTCACAAAGGCTCAGGGTGCAACGATCCTGTGTGCCAGGACTGCGACTGTTGGACCTGGTTTAGTTGAGAAACAGGCAAATTTAGTTAATATCCACCTCCCCTCTGCTCATTTTTTGACAGAACTGGAGGATTATGAAGGTGCTGAGGCGCTGGCACAGGGTGCCCAGAGAAGCTGTGGCTGCCCCATCCCTGGCAGTGCTCAAGGCCAGGTTGGACACAGGGGCTTGGAGCACCCTGCTCTAGTGGAAGGTGTCCCTGCCTGTGGCAGGGGGCTGGAACTGGATAAGCTTTAAGGTCCCATCCAACACAAACCATTCCATGATCCTATGGTTCTATGATTCTGACTTAATGAGAGCTTATAGGGATGAAGGATTTGGAGTAAGTAGCAGCAGGTCAGTGGTCCCTCCCTCCCTCCATTTTTTGGGGGTAAATGCATGTTTTTACAAAAGGTTTTACTTTTATTATGTTGAAACCTCCTTGCGAGCGCTCCTAATTCTCCACTTTCTATTGGGGCTGGAGAATAGCTCTCCCTTTTTGATGTTAAAACTTCATTCATTTTGGGGAGACAGAACAGAAATCATAGGATCCTAGACTGGTTTGGGTTGGAAGGGACCTTAAGACCATCTAGTTTCAACCCCCTGCCATGGGCAGGATACCTCCCATAGTATTCAAAGTCAGGTTGGATGGGACTTGGAGCACCCTGCTCTAGTGCAAGGTGTCCCTGCCCATAGCAGGGTTTGGAACTGGATGAGCTTCAAGGTCCTTTCCAACCCAGCCCAGTCTGTGACTCTGTGATATGGATCCACGTTGCATTCAACCCCTTTCCTAAGGGATGCATTCACTGATGGACTCCCATCTGCTCGCAGCACCATGACAAGAGCTTTTGGCAGCAAATTCTCCACCTCCAGCTCAGGATTAGAGTTTACCCTGTGATTTTTACCACGATGCCATGGGATGCACAGCTCGGAACAAAGCACCGACCTCAGCAGCGCGCGTCCCATTGCGCCGGGAGCCTGGGCTGATAAATGCTGCTCATATCCCATTCCGAGATGATGCAAGCAGGGCGGGTGGGTGGTGGGGTTTTTTTTTGGTTGTAGTTTGTCTTCCATTGCGGTAGTAAAGTTTTTAATTAGGAAAGCTAATGAGATCGATTAGTCATTAGACCTGACCTCTGGAGCTGTGCGAGGAGCCCGCGTGTGTGCGCCGGGCTGATAACGGGGGACGCTGGGGTATTGTTTGTAATAAAAGCCAAAAGTGTTTGATTTGAGTGAAATGTGCCACGGGGAATACATCATGTGGAGGAGAGGGGGGAAAAAAAACCCACCCAAATTACAACCCTGGGAGGCTGTAATGAAGGGAATTAAACCAACATCCTGTCTAAATAACATGATTATCTACACAAAACCCCTCAGCTAGCAAGTAATAATAGCAACCGGAGCTCTTCGGAGAGGCTCTTTGAGGAGGTGGTTAATGCTGGAGCTGTGCATGCAGGCACTTTCAGAAGAGCAGCTTCGGCATGAATACACCATCCAATTACCTCCAGGGAATGGAGTTTACCAGGTGCCAGCCTGTTTGGGTAGGGAAGGGGGGGTGAGGATGCCTCTAAAGCTCAACAATCTGGGACCTCTATTGCTTGCGGGAGACGGTGTCAAACAGGAGTTTGATGAGGTTCTGGGATGATGAGTGGCAGCTAAAGCTGGTGTAAGGGCAGCAAAATGATGTTCATAATGGGTTCAGTGAATTCCCAGCTTAATAATTCTGGAAGGTGGAGGGAAAGGGTCAACTTGTGCTGGTGCTCTTTGGGGAGAAGGGGGGTTTGTGGCTCTCATCCCATCCTGGTGTGAAAGAGCTGCTTTGGGTACGTGGTTGATGCTGTATCCATGAGAGGCTGGATGCATCCATGCCTCCTGGGTTAGAAAAGGGTCTCGTAGTCTCAAAGCAGGTGGGATTTCATCATGTGTGTGCAGCATTGGGCCATGCAGGGGTTTGCATGCCTGTCCTGTTGTTCCCATTTTGCAGTCCTAAATGCAGTTCTCTGAAGCAAAATGCTCCAACTTTGCCAGTGCTTGAGAATAATTGGACTGGGAATTAGAGCTTAAACCTTGCAAAGGGCTTTAGAAACCAACCCAGTGGTGAAGTCACTGCCCTGAAGAATTTAGTCTGATATAAAAAGTCCCAGGACAGGGAACCAGTGATGAAAACCTTTTGCTTTCTGTCTTCTTTCCTCTCTCTTCTTTCCTCACCTCTAAAGCGAGGGGTATCTGAGTCATAAAATGGTTTAGGCTGGAAGGGACCTTAAAGCTCATCCAGTTCCAACCCCTGCCACGGGCAGGGACACCTTCCACTAGAGCAGGGTACTCCAAGCTCCTGTGTCCAACCTGGCCTTGAACACTGCCAGGGATGGGGCAGCCACAGCTTCTCTGGGCACCCTGTGCCAGCGCCTCAGCACCCTCACAGGAAACAGCTTCTGCCTTATCTCCAACCTGAACTTCCCCTGTTTCAGTCTGAACCCATCACCCCTTGTCCTATCACTGCAGTCCCTGATGAAGAGTCCCTCTCCAGCATCCTTGCAGCCCCCTTCAGACACTGGAAGCTGCTCTGAGGTCTCCACGCAGCTTCTCTTCTCCAGGCTGAACAGCCCCAGTGTTCTCAGCCTGGCTCCATACAGGAGGTGCTCCAGCCCCTGATCATCCTCGTGGCCTCCTCTAGACTTGCTCCAACAGCTCCATGTCCTTCTTATGCTGAGGACACCAGAACTGCACCCAGTGCTGCAAGTGGGGTCTCACCAGAATCGAGTAGAGGGGCAGGATCACCTCCTTTAACTTGCTGGTCATGCTCCTTTTGATATTCCTGTTTTTCTAGTTCCAGCATAGATCCAGAATACCCCTTTACCTAGAACACAGCCTGATTGTCCTTTCTTTCACCAAGACAAACATGGGGACACGTCCAACATTTCCAGGGGAAATAATGATTCTGCTTTTCCCCTCTCAACCTTCTAATAATTAGAGCATCCCCAAGAATAACAGCCAGCCCTTTAAATCAGTGATAAACCCAGAAGCCTTGGTCTCAGCACGGAGTGTCAGCTTTAATTATCTGGGCAGTTACAGTGTATGTTATAAAAGTCAGGCAATTAGATGCATTCCTTAAAGCTGCACAAAAAATTGCTTGCCATCAAGTGGAGGAAAACCAGATCAAATGTGTAAGTGTTAATGGCATGGAACATTCAGCAGAATAAACCAGTGTGAAACAGGAGGAAAAAGGGAGTGATTCAGTCATAGAACCATAGACTGGTTTGTGTTGGAAGGGACCTTAAAGCTCATCCAGTTCTAACCCTCTGCCACGGGCAGTGACCCCTTCCACTAGAGCAGGGTGCTCCAACCCCCTGTGTCCAACCTGGCCTTGAACACTGCCAGGGATGGCACATTCACAACTTCCTTGGCCACCCTGTCCAGTGTCTCACCACCCTCACAGTAAAGAGCTTCATCCTTATATCCAACCTGAATCTCCCTGTTTAAGCTTGAACCCGATGCATAAACCCAGTTCCAGTGCTGGGGATCAAGGTGTTGGTGAATTCATGTTAGAGTTTTGCTGCTGGGTTGGTGAAGCCAACCCCACATCCATCAGAGCCTTTCTGTTATCACAAACCATGGTGGTCTCATGCTTGATGGGCCCCAGGGGTCTTTTCCCCCCTTTCCCCCCCTCTTTCTTAGAGTTTGGTGTAGGACATATGTTGGTGAGTTTTCTTCTGTCCCCCCCATACACCTGAATTTCAAGCCCTTCTTCCATTTGCTTTCTTGTAGGAGCCAACTTGCACTTCCTCAGGAGCCCCCCAGCCAACAAGGTGATAAAGACCCGTTACAGGATAGTGAAGAAGAACGTGGTGCCTGCAACCTCATCGCCTTTCAGCAGCCCCATTCCCAACTGGAAGATGAGGCGCCCCGCGACATCCAGGTAATTCTTCCATCCCTTGGCTATTGTGTTATTACCCTTGTGTGCTCATCACTTGATTTCTCTATTTGTTTAGCTGACTTTATTCACTCAGAGTGTAAAATCCCATTAGGAATCATGCTAGTCTGTGTTGGTGGCCAACGTTTTTACTACAGCCTGTGGCTTCCTATTTATTCCCTATGGGAGTGAATTGTTTCCATGAAGCAGTTAAATAAGCTGTAAGAATAAACTCAAACAACTTTTAACATCAGACCTTAGCAAAGTTCCTTCTTTTGGAGATAGACATGGGCAGACCTTCCCTCTGCTTTATAATGTTATGTATGTTGGTGCTACAGAGGAGCTTATTGAAAGCATGTTGGAGGTCCCAGACCTACACCAGGAGGTAGGTACAGGCACACGCTGTTTCTTCCTGGGTTGTCTGGATGGATGGAACATCAGCTTGGCCCTAGAGCAAATAACTTGGTGTGCCAGCACCCATCTGATGAAGGATGTCACCAAAGGATGGTGCAATGCCCTAGAGTCTGAGCCTAAATCAGCTGTGCTGGCATCTGTGTTTCAGCTGTAGGCGAGCTGCAGCCACATTTGCTGGTGGAGATGTTACCAGGGAGCATCTCTGATGTCAAGACAAAGCTTGGAAGTTGTGTGTGAAGCAGAAAGATCATTATGGTTATTGGTGCTATTAGAACTGGTGGGTTTGGTTATAATGCAGATTTTGGCTAGCCTTAGGGTGAGAATGACTTCTCCTCCTCCTGAGATGCTTCTTTGCTGCTGTCACAGGCAATATTTTGGGCAAACAGCCTGCTCTGTTCCGTTATGGATTTCTTGTTATTCATCCCAGTGCAGCAAACCCAAGGAGCTGGGGGATGCTGTGGATTGTCCCCTGTTGTTGGCTGCCAGGGATGGGGCAGTCACAGCTCCTCCGGGTCCACTGTGTCATACTGTGACATGGCAGTGCCCAAAACTATTGCCCATTGTTATATGAACCTGACCTGTGAAACTCTTTCAGGCATCAGTGGTAAGGGATGAAGAGAGGCTCCTCACTGCCACCTCAAGTTTGATCTGCTGCAGATGCATGTGTTTAATCCAGTGCTATAACTGACGCCTACCTTGGTTGCCCAGAGAGGTGGTAGATGCCCCATCCCTGGCAGTACTCAAAGCCAGGTTGGACGGGGCTTGGAGCAAGCTGCTCTAGTGGAAGGTGTCCCTGCCTATGGCAGGGAGTTGGAACTGGGCAAGCTTTAAGGTCCCTTCCAACCCAAACCAGTTTTCTATGAAGTTCAGCCTTAGTTAGTAGAAAGCAACTCATGTTCCAACTGTTTGGCTCAGGTTTATAGCTTGTTATTCCACATCTGGATAGTTGATGGATGGAGGATCTGCAGTGAGAACCGAGGAGGACAGGAGCTTCAGTCAGGGTTAGAGCAGGAGTCTCAAGCTGCTGGGTCATGACTCTTGCTCAGCTGAGTAGTGATTCTGCAGAGAAACAGCCTGTTCATGCCACCAGGATTGGCTGCAAGCTCTCACTTGTAGAGTCACTTTATCCATATTAATCTCTGACTTCACTACATGATGTAGTTTGGATCTTCCAGCTGCTTCAGACAAATCTTGATCAAATGCCATCAGCAATTAAAACAATTATGTTTTAAAGAAGCAATAAATCACTTACTCAGTCACCTATTACCTTTGTGGTGTGTGATCCATCATCTGCTCTGGCTGGAGGAAGCACATGGCAAATGCTTCTCCTATAGGGTTTTCTCCATCATTCATAGCATCCTCTTGGAGCTGTAACAAGCAAGAAGCCAGGAGCTGCTTTCTTGCTGCTTTGCTTTGTTTTGGTCTAATCAAGGTGGGGCTTTGGTGGTGGTGGGACACACTGCATTGCTGCAGCACTGGATTAGACCCCTCCTTATGCATCATTGGATGTTCATCATACTGAATGGTCAGCTATTGATTCTGACATCCTTTTCACGTTAAGCCAGAAGTGTGATGCTTGAAGGCTGGTGGTGCTGCAGCCAAGTGCTGCTCCCAGTGTGGTTTCTAACTGTTGCTAAGGGGAAGTTCCTGCTATGAAATCCAGGTTTTGGGAAGTCCAAAGGTGATGTGCAAGGGTTTTACATAGGCACTGATCTCTTCAGATTGAATACACTGCCACAAGAAACGTTAGGCAGGAGCTGTGTCCATCTCATGCAGTGTTCAAGGCCAGGTTGGACAGAGCCTTGGGTGACATGGTCTAGCATGAGGTGTCCCTGCCCATGGCAGGAGGTTGGAACTGGATGATCTTAAGGTCCTTTCCAACCCAGACCATTCCATGAGTCTGTGACATGAGTGACAGGGAGAGTTGCTGCAGGTCCAGAGGTACCTGGTGGTGATCCCTTGGGTGATGAGTTGTGTCCTCCCCTTCCTGCTGCCTTGCATGAAACTTGCCCCTGCTGCTGACTTGACTCCAAGGCGAGAGATGGGAGTATATTTGAAATTAATTTTAGCACACTTTTGGTAATATTTTTGTTTTAAATAGATTTATAAGCAACTCGGGGGCCATTGCTCCGAATTTATGAAGATCATTTTCCCTCTCTTGATAAGGTGAAATTTACACCTGCTATTTCCATATTAATTCCCATTGCTAAGTGGATCTAATTCTCTTCCGTTCTTCTATCTGGCGAGTGTGGCCTTTCCTAATGCAATTTCCCCCTCAGTAAATCACTGTGATCGGGAGTCATGATCGAGTTAAATTAACTTCAATTAATTTACTTAATAAGAGCTCCGGATCATTGTGAATGAGGTGAAGATTTATGGATTCTCCTTTTCACTCCTCCCCCTTATCTCCCTCTGCTTCGCAGGAGCACGGCTCAAGAGGGCTCTCATTTGCTTGCCTTAAATCCCATTTGCTCCTATTGACATTGTTGGGGGGAGGCGGTGTCCTCTCCTCACACAGCCTCTTGCCACCAGGAGAGGGCTGAGTGAGTTGCCAGGGAGGACTTGTGATGGATCAAGCTGCATGTTAAGTGATGGTGGTGATGCTGCTCCTGCTTCCTGCCTCTTTCTGTGTGTCGTGGTTCTGGTGTCCTCAACATAAGGACATGGAGCTGTTGGAGCAAGTCCAGAGGAGGCCACGAGGATTCTCCGGGGCTGGAGCACCTCCTGTATGGAGCCAGGCTGAGAACACTGGGGCTGTTGAGCCTGGAGAAGAGAAGCTGCGTGGAGACCTCAGAGCAGCTCCCAGTGTCTGAAGGGGGCTACAAGGATGCTGGAGAGGGACTCTTCATCAGGGACTGCAGTGACAGGACAAGGGGTGATGGGTTCAGACTGAAACAGGGGAGGGTCAGGCTGGAGGTAAGGAAGGAATTCTTCTCTGTGAGAGTGGTGAGGGGCTGGAACAGGCTGCCTAAGGAAGCTGTAGGTGTTCTATCCCTGGCAGTGTTCAAGGCCAGGTTGGACACAGGAGCTGGAGCACCCTGCTCTAGTGGAAGGTGTTCCTGCCCGTGGTAGGGGTTGGAACTGGATGAGCTTTAAGGTTCTTTCCAACCCAAACCACTCTGTGCTTCTGTGATGTGTGGGGTGTCAGCAGATGCAGCCACCAGGATGTTCAGGTTTCACAGACATTGCCCAGAGGCAGCAGAAACCTTCTGGAGCTGAGGATGCTGTAAAGTTGTGGAAACTGCTGGAAAAGTAGATAGGGTGCCATCGTGGTTGGGATCCTCCACCCCAACACATGTTGGCTGATGGAGCAGGTGAGGATAAGGGCAGGAGGATGCTCCTGGTCATTGCACATACTCCCCTGTGCAAAGCCACATGCTCCACCAAAGGGACAGTCCTGCTGCAGGCGGAACAAAGCAAAAGGAACAACCCCAAGAGCCACTGAGCATCCGTCCCGAGGCAGCAGTGGGAAATGTCCATGCCCTCGTATGGTGAATGCCATGTCTGGAGTGGGCTCAGCCAGGAACTGTGCCAAAAGCATTGGCCGGGAGAAGGAGGGTGCACCAGTACCTGCAGGAGATCCCAACTCACCCTCTTGTGGAGAGGCAGAGCCACTTTAAGACCCATTTTTGGGGAGCAGAAAGCCAACACGGAGCTGATGTTGTGCTTATGGACCCCTGATGGGTGACTCAAAACACTGACCCACTTTGAAGAGTTTTCTTCTAAACGACTGAGGCACGTGTTTAAAAGTAACCTGTCTGCAGATACCAGCCTGGTGCTGATAGAGAAGCTCTGATGCTTCCTTCAGAAAGCTTTGCAGCACCTCTTGAGGGACAGTCCTACCCCTCCAGCACTATTAATAAGAAGATAATCTAACATTTGTTAGAGAAATGGCTGCTCAGGAGAACAGACTCATCAGCAGAGAATGCACTTGTGTCCTTTAGTGTTGTTTTCTTCCTTTCTTTCTCTTCATTGGCCTGGAGCATCTAGAATGGAGTGAGATGGAAACAAGAGTCTCCTGGGCTTGGCTTCGGTCCTTGTCATCCTGTCCCCCTGCAAGGCCTTTAGGGTTTGGTGTTGAAAGGAGCAGGGGAAGGGTAGTCCCCGTCATTGTGCCTGCTGTGATTTGGTGGCTATGGGATAGTGATCCCAGGAATTACTGCTATGATGAGAGGGACGTGGGGATGGCAGCAGATGTCCTAAAAGCCTAATTCTCTTAAACTAGACCTGATGACCATTAGAAAGACAATGCTGAAGCATTGCATGTGAGAAGCACCTCAATAAGCAGCCCCCACCACATGGTGTTTAGTTTTCAGGATAGTTTGAGGGCAGAATCTACTTAGAATGTGGGAATGAGTCCAGAGGAGGCCACGGAGATGCTGCGAGGGCTGGAGCAGCTCTGATCTGGAGCCACGCTGAGAGAGCTGGGCTGGGGCAGCCTGGAGAAGAGAAGGCTCCTGAAGGGGAGACCTGAGAGCAGCTCCAGTGCCTAAAGGGGCTGCAGGAAACCTGGAGAGGGGCTCAGTATCAGGGACTGTAGTGGTAGGACAGGGGGTGATGGGTTCAAACCAAAACAGGGGAAGTTCTGGTTA